AAATTTTCACTGACTCAACTTTTTAACCGACATTCTTGCATCCCCTACTTCCTAAATCCACCTCCAACTTCCTTGCATCTTATCCCTGGTGCCCCCTCGTCCCTGGAACCAGGAAATGTCTCAAGAAGGGCCTTGTTATAAATTTGAAGAAGTGTGACAAGCAAGTCTCAAAATAGATGTGGTAGGTGTAAAATGTAATGTACTTTGGAGCTGTGCACCTAGACATTATTTTTTTTTACAGAGGATGCATCGGTGCACGTAGATATTTCTGTTATGTAAAGGTACTATAATTAATTGTAACTTGGATAAAAACTTGGATAGTGAGTGATTATACTCAGGTGGACTTCTATGTACATTCCCCAGAAAAATAAAGAAATTCAAGCCACGGACAAGGACATCACTTCTATGCTATGTGAAAATAACAGTACTACTATAAACTTCCACTGACTCAACTTTCCGACTTCCTCACACCTTATCGCTTGTGCCACTTCGCTCCTAGAACCAGCAAATCTCTCCCAGGAATGTCTCAAGCAGGCAAAGTTTGGAGGGATATCCTAATCCCTTATTAGGAGTTGATTGGTTGTGGCTGGCGGAACTAAGGAGGTCATATGAAGGGTAATCCGCAAACAAGTCGCCGAGAACAGGAAATAATTTGGGATGTTTCAGATTTAATCACAGACTTTCCTGAGGTCTGGAAATGCTTAGTCAACAATTTTTTCTAGGTTGAACAACTCCTGTAATTAAATGAGCAAAGATTGAGTGTAACAAGTCATTCGGTGTGATATAGCTAGCTGCCGCCGCGCCGCGTGCCTGCGAAGCTGGTGTGTTGCGCCGAAGGGCGGTTATACCGGCTATACAGATACAGAAGCTGGTGTGTTACGCCGAAGGGCGGTTATACCGGCTATACAGATACAGAAGCTGGTGTGTTACGCCGAAGTGCAGTTATACCGGCTATACAGATACAGATACAGATAGAGTTGAAAGTTTTTGAAGTTCAATCTTTCAGAGTTTGAGATGATAAAGATAATATACTTTGGCAAATCCTCTTACAAAAGCATCTGAGTTGGTAAATAACATAATGATTATTACAAATGTAAGTGATTCGGACGAAAATTCCAAAATGACCGGGAGAGTCAATTTTCTTGAGTTGGAGAACAGTTAAATTCTCATTATTCTCTTATAAATGTTACCAAACGGAAGCATTTAAAGTAACTAGAGGACATTTACCTCTAATTCCGGCAGTGTAAGTTTGCACCTTGCCCATATAGTTTCCAATGATAGAAGAGGCATTTACCATTTCCGACAGACAACTTCAGTTGGAGAAATCATCAATTTTACCACCAGAATGTATCCTCTATCTCACCTGCTCTCACAGACAGACAAGTTCAGTTGGAGAAATCATCAATTTTACCACCAGAATGTATCCGCTGTCCCACCTGCTCTCACAGACAGACAAGTGCAATTGGAGAAATCATCAATTGTACCACCAGAATGTATCCTCTGTCTCACCTGTTCTCCAACCCTGACCCTGATGGTCTATCTGCTTCGGGCCTGGAGAGAAGGCCTCAACAATTTCATTTGTTGGTTCTTGGAATTGAAAAAAAAATGCTGAACTGAAAGTTCAACATGAAAACAGAGTCTGACTCTTAGGGGAAAGTATAACGTTTGTTCAGATCTGTAAATAATTTCATCAGGTTGGTGAATGATTTGATGGCAAAGTTTTTATTTACAACCACTTGTTAAAAACAAGAGCTAAATGTTTTGATAACAGTCTGTTGTCTCCATGATGGCTTTTTCCACTACTGAAGCTAGTTGTTACTGCTAACTTCAGTTTCAGAGAGTGAATATAGTAAAACATAGTTTCCCAAACCCACATTCTTTTCTCGTTGTTGTTTTCTTCGGAATGTTAAAGAAGCAAAGAAATAAATTCCTGTGGCCCAAGCCATCCTTTATCAAGTTACTGGTGAACCGCAATAGTTAAACATCTGAACAGTTTAGTTTTTGCATCAGTTTCGAACATTTAAAGGTTGCTTTCCCACAACCTTCTTCCTGTGTTTTTAAAAACAAAGACATCGACACCACAAACCCAGGGCATAGACATGAGATTCTAAATTCTGTGACATTTATCAAGTTACAACTTACAAGTGTTTTCTGTCAATCAAATTTTAGTATACATACTGAAGATGACAGAAAATAATAAGTAACACACATGTACTCGCTTGAGATGTACCAATCAAATTGTTTGATTTTGATACTGTTGATTTAGAAGGATTGTAATCAAATTAACAAATCAATATTTATTACCTCACATATTTGCTTGTAACTAATCCAAGTAAATCTTAACTTGAATGTAAAGAAGGTTTAAGAAACTAAAAACATGTCATTAAAAACTTCAAGTTCGCTACTTGCAAGGTCAAGTACATGTACAATGGAAGATAGAATGTGACAAAGCAATTTTTTACACCCACATAAAAACAGTCAGACTTCCTATAAAATGCAATTGGACCAGAAGTTCAAACCCCCAAAGTCATTGCAACTCCTGGCACACCCCCAAACCACAGTCATGTGCTATCACCAACCACCATCTGTACAGCCCACAGTTGTTCAGACTTTCTATTAACTATACATACACAGCCCTGGAGCATATACATGTAGGAAATGTTAGAGGTACCAAATATCATGGTCACCCCCCAAGCAATGGAAGCATCTTATACTATTGTCTACCAAAGGTATAATACATAAAAAAGGTTTTACTAAAACAGTCATTCAATCTCTATTTAAAGATTTTGAAGGTGTTTACGTATACCCGATTCAAATCCAGTCCAATGTCATATTAAGTTCTTAATTTTATACCTATCCCATATACTATCCACCCACTCTTGTATTAGTTAGGTTAGCCTTATAAAATGTAGTTTTGTAGTAATAGATGCCATACTTTGTACCCTGTACAACTGTTGTGCAATAAAGTTATCTGTGTATTTCCTCAAATTCTAAGAAATAGCTAACAGTTTCCCTTTTGAGTGTCACATCTGATACAGTATGATCTGCACCAGTTGGCACCTCATCAAGCCACAGTCATGTCCGATTGTCAGCCACCTTCCTCATGAACCACAGTTGTTCTTACTGAAACTACAGCCTGGAGCATACAGGAAATGTTGGGACCAAACTTAGTGACAGGCCCTCTAGGTCATGAAAGTGTTTAATACTGAAGTCTACTAGGGCAAAGTTAAAGCTGTCACCCTGTATCGAAGATAGAATTTACAAAGAAATTGTGAAAAAAGAAGTTCCAAAGCTTGGATATTTCTTTGAAGTTCTAAGAATATAGAATAATTTAATTAAAATGGCTGTATTTGCCTTTAAGAAATGGCATGTAGGCCCACTGACATCTTTTTTTCACTTGCAGGAATAATAAGTGAATGAAAAATTTATAATTGCTTTTAGTATTGTGTTTGTTGTTACTCAGTAAATGATAACATTGCATTTAGAAGCACACTGATCTGTAAACACCTGAATTCCCTTCTGAGTTCCTTTGATCTTATAACCGCTTCAAGACATGGCACATGTTTAACTCTCGACCTCCAAGAATCTTAAACATGAAGACCACAAATAAATAGTAAAAGCACCAAAAATGCCTGACCCAAATTTGATCATGAAAGCTCTCTTAAAATCTGCCAAAATTGACTGTCATTAAAAATAAGTGCTTGATGACATATCTGAATTGTTTGGGACATTTTCGTGAAATAGTTTGCATTTTTTTTCTTCTCTGATCATTAATTCTTGCTATTACTATTACTAAGTACTTGTACAAATGTAGCTTACGCCTATAAGACTTAGTAGAGTACTCTAAGTAGAGTGGATTCTTTCTTTAAGCTGACCAACATCTTACAATGTTCTAGTACACACCACAGTTGTTCCTCAGTAAGACATCTGGAGCTGCATAGGTCCTGTTTAGAAGTTTTAATACTTTTATATTAAGCCAGCTTGTTACTTGTAGCTGTACATGTACATTATAGAGGGCCTGAATGGGGGGGTAGTGATTACGAATTACGCAAAATTTTGGCCGCCGATTACGAATTACGTAAAAGTCTCAGAGCTGATTACGACTTCATGATTTGCGGCTAATGTCATATTACGAATTACGTTGATTTTTGCGGAGGCTGCCTACGAATTACAAAGTCGTAAAAAGGCCTGATTATGCCTTACGAAAAAGGACTTGCGGCCCCCCTTATATAGGAAAGGAGGCTAACAGGCGAAACCGAGTGCCTGTCTGGAAGTTTTCAGAGTTGGTTATGTTGGATGAGTGACTCCCTCAGTGGTCTGGGAGTGGCTAAGCTGAGGAAATGGCTGGGATTTTTCCCCCTCAGGCAGACATACCTGTCCTCACACTGCCCTATGTGATGCAGCACTGGGCCAGTCTATATTAACTTGTTGGTTCTCAGATTTAAAAAAAAAACTGTCCACAGCCTGCCCTGTGTGATGCAGCACTGGGACAATCTAAATTAGCTTGTTGGTTCTCAGATTTAAAAAAAAATGTTGAACTGGAAAACTAAGTACTGATGATTGCCTTAGGAAAAGTCTGTATTTTGATACACACTGTTTTATGAAGTCAATATGAGTCAGGTTAAACAAATCAAACACTTACATACATTTGCACATTCTTTGAGGATTCAGATGTTTTCACATAGTATCCACTATCTTTCATCAGTGACTGAGAATGACAGAAATGTCCGACTCTTTAGAGTATTTATTCTCTCTATATGGTCCACCTGGATGTCTAACTTTCATTGACATAGAGAGATGTGAATTCGAGGTGATTCATTCCTCAGCTAACCCACATCTTGCACACGCAGTCGTCCCTCAGTAAGACATCTGGAGCCGCATAGTTCCTGCTTAGAACTTTTATTCAGCCTGTCACAAATAGACATAGAGAGAATAGGATTATTTTTCTTGCTGTCAGTTTTCATTTCTTGATTGTTAACTCTTTAAAACATTACTTGAGCATGTCCAAGAACCAAGAAGATGAAATAGAGTGGCCTGCCTCTGAGTCTAACCCTCCAGCACACCCATACCTGTCCTCACTAGTGTCTGTATGACGCACTTCACACTTTTACTGTGCCTCAGGACACAACAGTTGGATTAACACAGGGATTAACAGTCTAATTATAGCAGTGTAATAGCATTCATTACTTAATCCTTATCTTTGAATCTGGACAGCTTAGAATTCTGCAAGCTAAAAGGTTTAGTAAACAGTAAAAAACACGGCTATTTTGCGGTTGCCTGGGACCATCTTAGTGCTTGCTTCCAAATGTGTACATGTGCTAATGCAAAATGCAAATGAAATTTTTTTTCAATTTGGACTATAATGGTAGCTGTGGGTTACACTGAGCACAACTCTAGTCTGAAATGGAACACAATGTGTTATATGTCACTAGTACCTAGAAAAGTTTATGAACTTGGACATGATAGCTAACACACAGCCAACAGAATCTGTCTGATACCATCTTTGTACAAATGCTTCTAGCTATGCTTTTTTAATTACGTAATTAAACAGAATATGTTGTATGTCACGAATACAAAACTTTATAAACTTGGACTTGCCAGCTGCAATGCACATACAGTCAAGCCCAACTGGATCTGACACTATCTGTGCAGCAGACCTTACAGTAACACAATTGCTCCTGAGTCCTGATCATATACATTGAAATCTTTTGATAATCTTTTAAAATTGAACACCAGAAAAACTTATCAACTTGCACTTGGCAGCTGTAACATACTCAAAGAAGTGGATCTGACACTATCTGTGCAGCAGACCTTACAGTAACACATGCTGGCCACCTCTATAACCTCAGCAGCCAACACCCACCCACACACGTGCCCTGTGCTAAGAGGAGGCCACCGGAGAGCCGGCCGGGTCGATGCCCTTGACCGAAAACCATCTTAAACTTGCAGACGAGGCTGTCAGCTTGCATTAGGCCAGGGAAGGGTGACCTCAAAATACTAACACTGATGAAACAGTTCAGCTAAACAACTTTTACTAAGGGTGGGGACAGGGGTAAAGATGTTTTGCTATGGTGGAGTGCAACACATGTAACACTACTGAGGGATTTACTTTCATTGTACTTTGTATATACACTACAACTGACTCAACTGTACAACACAGTGCAACTTTACTAAATCAACTACAAGGCTTTTCTTCCTTGCAGATTGTTGATCACTAAGTCTTGCATGTAAAATCTAAACTAAAGGATCTGGGTTTAATCCCTAGCAGACCCCAATGTTGTGCCCTTGGGAAAGACCTATTTCCTCACTCACTTAGGTGAAAATAAAGTACATGTACCTAGTAGCTAACTTCATTCATTGGATGGGACATAAGGCTGGATGGCCATGGCCAGTATTTGGAGAAAGCCGCACCTCTAGCTCAAGCACTTATAGAAATGAGCATTGGATCGCAGCAGCTTGTACCAAACTGGTGTGTTATTATGCCTGAAGGTGGTTCACTGGCCATGCAAAACAAACAACAAGGTCCAGTGTCTGCCCTTGACATCTGTAAGGTTTGATTAAACTGTGTGTGGACAGGTTAGAACAGGAGACTGAAATCTGACCCTCGTTCTGTTTTAGTTCCATTTCCCAGCCTGTAGTCAAAGTGGTTCAAGTCTGATAACTGGGAAGGGGTCAGCGACCAGGCTAATGAGTAGGAATTCTGCAGATATTGCCTTCAAATACATGTATACTTAGGTCACTTTTCCGTACCTACACAGGCCAGCTCCTTAGCCTGGATGCCAGACTGTTTCCAGGGCCTACACAGGCCAGCTCCTTAGCCTGGATGCCAGACTGTTTCCAGGGCCTACACAGGCCAGCTCCTTAGCCTGGATGCCAGATTGTTTCCAGGGCCTACACAGGCCAGCTCCTTAGCCTGGATGCCAGATTGTTTCCAGGGCCTACACAGCCCAGCTCCTTAGCCTGGATGCCAGACTGTTGCCAGGGCCTACGCAGGCCAGCTCCTTAGCCTGGATGCCAGGCTGTTGCCAGGGCCTACGCAGGCAAGCTCCTTAGCCTGGATGCCAGACTGTTTCCAGGACCTACACAGGATCAACTCCAGGGCCAACATTGGCCATGGTCAGGGAAATTTTACCACATCCCTGAATATATTTTATCCTCTTCTATCCTCTTATAACTCTTCTGTTTTCTCCCCACAGTGTAAGGTTGGATGTGATTCGTGGACAAACACATCAATAGCAGAATGCTCAAGAACATGTGTAAGTACAAAATGTATTTATTTGGAAATTTGTTTTCTTTCATAGTAACTTTAAGAGAACCTGCCTTGATACTAATAATCTTCTTCATGCTATGGTAAAGAAATTCCAGCTCTAATTTTCTGTCTTTTTTTTTTCAGAATGAAAGTTTTACAGCCAACTCCACAGTGAAAGTAGCACCATGTTCTACAGGCTGCACATTCGCACAAGACGTCTATGTTGAGAGAATAAAAGGTAATGCTAACTTTTTCTTACTCCTACAGTAACTGTAGTGTACATTTTGTAGTGTTGTCCTGGAATATGACAAGTGGTCAGTATAGTAAAACGTTAAACTTTATTCCAACACACAGTTTACAGAGATCAAATTTTCAGCGACCACTGTCGCCTTCATCAGGATAATTGGTCTCTCTGTAAACTGTGTGTTGGAATAAAGTTTAACGTTTTACTATGATTACTACCAACACAGATGAACTTTCATGACAAGTGGTCAGTATGTTTGTTATGTAAAGTTAGCGTGCATGTACGTGCCTGCCTTGTCAGTTATAATGATTGTTACTTGCAAAGTCGAATGTTTGAGTTGACAGAAGGAAGTGAGGATGCCAAAAACACTTGGGTGTCGGCAAACTGGCACAAGCCAGAGGCTGTTACAAAGTGCTACCAGAGTTGCTAAAGCTGCTGAAGTCATATGGATTTTGAAACTGATTGTTGAACTGAAACTGCAACTAATGGCTATCTCAATAAAGTATTAGTATCAAAGTATGTTGTAGTAAGATTGATTTCGTGTGTGTGTGCATGTGTGTGTGCATGTGTGTGTGTGTGTGTGTGTGCATGTGTGTGTGCATGAGTGTGTGTGTGTGTGTGCATGTGTGTGTGCATGTGTGTGTGTGTGTGTGTGTGCATGTGTGCATGCATGTACATGCATGTGTCCATGTGTGTGTGTGTGTGTGCGTGCGTGTATGTGCATGCGTGTGTGTGAGTTTGTGTCCATGTGCGCGCGCGTGTGTGTGTATGTATGCGTGTGTGTGAGTGTGCACACACGTGTGTGTTAATATCTGAAAGCCATTCACCCTGACTGTATTTTGTTTCTCTGATTCCAGCTGGCCTGAACCCCCCCTCCCCACCCTACCTCCCCAGTAGTGACCTGGTATCCAATGACTCGGTAGTGCTACAGTGGACAGCAGCTAACAGCAGTCTGGTTACTTACCTGGTACAGTGGAGATTCGACCAGGGCAACTCTGACTGGAGGTTCTACCAGTCAGCACAGGTAAGGATTTTATCATCGAAATCCTTTCCTAAGTTGTGCAGTCGCTAAATGTCTTAATTCCTCAAATATTGATAAATATAACTATTACAACAATATCTTTGTGATCTGTATTAGGACTTCAATCATGTTACCTGAATCTTGTTATAAGCTGACTGTGACATCTTGGCAAGCCATCTTGAGTTGTTCAAGAAATGAAAGCTTAAAACAATCGTTAACCAAAATACAATTTATGGTAAAGAAATAGTTACCATCCATCCTCCTGTGGAAACCAAGTAGCCAAGTGCAAAGTTTGACATTTATTGAGTCAGACGCTTTAGTTCGAGACACGCATTGAACATGATAACTAAGAAAAAGTAATGCTTAACAGACACAGGCTGAGATGACTATGATGTTAAATGACAGCGATGGAAAATAGTAACTTAGTGTTACTTCTCCTCCCCAGCCCCTCCAGGAGCCCAACATTACAGTGTCGGGCCTCCATGCCTACACAACCTACAGGTTCAGAGTTCTGTGGCTCCTCACACCTGATGAATTCATCCCATCTCTGCAGAGCCAAGCCATACAGACCCTGCCTTTTGGAGGTCTGAAACTCGTCCTATTGTTTAATGAGTGTACAAACTCTGTAAAGTAATGTAGAATTTTGTCTATGGAACTAATAGAGCATAAAAACTCTTTAAATGTAGAATTTAGAATTGCGTATTGAACTGAAATAAATAGTGCTTTTCTAAATGTATGTTTCCTGTCAATTTTGAAGGCAGGTTTTACAAGTTAAGAGCATAAAATACAGTAACTGTTGTTTTTAAACACCTCAATCCTTGTTTCATTACTTGACTGGTACTTGAGAATCCGTGTTCTTTTCTTAGAGGGTGTTACAATGTAAATCTGTATCAGCTAGAATGATAGTAACTTTATTACACAACAACTCTATAAGGCAGCCTCTATTAGATGACAACTGACTTAATGAACATTTATTTCAACATCTATATCTTACAGCCCCCTCGAGTCCACCAATCATCACCCAGATCACCAGCCCCACCAAGCGCTCCGTTTACGTCGCCTGGAACCCCCCACAATTCCCAAACCGCCCTCTCGTGGCCTACAACCTCATCCTGACCAACCTGGACCAGAACTCGGCCCTTCCCGTCTACAAGGACTTGCCTGCGACGCAGCGTTACTACCAGTTTTCTCGCAACGTGCGACCGAACACGACGTACAGCGTAGAAGTGCGGGCACAGAATAGTGAAGGGATGGGGCCGGCCGCTGTGGCGAATGTTACAACACTGGCTACAAACCCTGGTAATGTGGCAATGTTTGTGTTTGTGTCTGTGTGTGTGTGTGTGTTTGTGTGTACAATGTATGTCTGAGTGTCTGTGCGTGTATGTGTGTGTGTGTGTGAGTGTGTCTTTGTGTGTGTGTGTACAAATGTGTGTGTGTGTATGTGTGTGTTTCTCTGCATGTGTGTTTATGTGTGCGTGTGTGTGTTTGTGCATGTGTGCGTGTGTGTGTTAGTATGAGTCTGTGTGTTTGTGTGTGTCTACATGTATGTGTCTGTCTGAGTGTGTGTTTCAGTGTGCGTGTGTGTGCGCGCACGTATGTGTGTGTTTGTGTGGGCACAGAATAGCAATGGGAAAGGATTTTCAGCTGTTAAATTGGTGGTTAAAGGAAATGACCATGCCTTACGAGACCATATACACCTTAATTGGGGCGGGTCATTAACCCATAATTCTAATCCCTTTTGTTTCCTCCCAGAGTCTGACTCTGTGTACCCAGTTCTCCTGATGGGAACAAACCACCACATCCTGAGGGTGGATCTGGACGGGGGAGACGACTACTTCGATGAAACCGAGGATGACAAACTGTTCGAGTCTGCCAACGACAGCGTCAGCATTATAGGTAAAACAGCATCTTTTGCACTTAAGCCTGGGTGCCATGCTATTTTTGTACCAAGGCTCCCATACTGGCTCTAGACCTGGGTAGTCCATGGTAGTTAGCAACAATACGGAGCTGGTGGTAACTCTGGAGGACGGCACCGATGACACCAAAACTACAAGACTCAAGAACTCTTGAGAGGACATACGTACAGTGCAGATTCATAATTTACGCAAAAAGCCAGCATGTGCCGGCTTGTTGTATACGTCGCTAAGTACTGCCGCAAATGCACAATACCAGCTTTGTATTCCTGTGGTGTAGTAGCATTTTTTGGCCAGAATTTTTTTTTATTCGCCCGCGCGCACTAGTATGGGGGTCTTTAGAGGATGTCATCCATATTATTATTAAGATTAAGTCAGTGTGGCCTTACTATAGACAAGAGCCAGCTTGCAGTTTCTAACCCCCCCCTGTTTCACCTGCCCAGGTGTTGCGTCCCACGTGAGAAGACAGCAGGTGTACTACAGCGACACGGCAGGTACCATCGGCCGCGTTTCCATGGTGAACTCCAGCGACACGGCCGTCATTCTGACAGGTGTCAATCATCTGTCCTACCTGTCTGTGGACTGGCTACACGACAGGCTGTACTACGTCTCAGGTAAGGTTTATGAATAGTACAGACTTCTACACTGCGTCAAATTCTTGAACACCTTCGCGCTTTTGTCTTCTAACAACTAATGTTGCCAAAAAACAGTTACTCAAGCAACTGGATATGATTTTGGAAACAGACATTTCAGGTAGCATCCACTACCTTTCGTCAGTGAAACACGTATAAAGCTGCTTTTCTGACAACTCTCCAGTGTCACTGACGAAAGGTAGTAGACACTACATGAAAGGTCAGACCGTTTCCAAAATCATATCCAGTTGCTTGAGTAACTGTTTGTGGCATATCGTATTACCTGAATGTCTAACCTTCACCGACGTACTGTACTCCTACATGTAATGCCATCAATTAGAACTATAGTTACATTTTAGATGAACATGTACATTGGCTTCTTCCTTATTTTAGTGTACTAGTACTAGTTGTTCTCTTGATTGAATTGAAAGATAAATTATTCCTATGTAATCACCATCAGGCCAGACCATGATGAGGTGTTCACTGGACGGCAGCCAACAGGAGGTGGTGCTGCAGTACCTGTCTCAGCCACCGGGGGAGCTGCTGGTCAATCCCTACCATGGGTCAGTATTGTAAAGGAAAAGTTGGTATTACAAAGTACATTAACCTAGCATTGTGCTTCATAGATGTAGATAATATTTGACATGACATGTTGAGTTTTTTCAGGGTTGCTGGTTTTCTAGTACCCGGTTTTTCCTCGATAGTAAATGGATAGTGTCCCAATGTTTCAGCTGAGTCTAGTAGATATAACATTTTCCTACCTTCACTCCTGTAGCTTCCTTTACTGGACCCAATACAGGAAGACTTTTTACAGATTTTAAGACTTGTTTTGCAGCATAACAATATTACAGCTGAGTGTAGAGATAACATGTTTTCTCCATTTGTATGTTCCTGTAGGTACCTCTACTGGACCCAGGCTGGTGTGGGAGGGGGGCTGTACAGGATGGACCTCGCATACGCCGGGCAAACCAACCTCACCAACTCCACCACTCATCAGCTCATCAGTATAACAATATTACTGGATGTAGTGATAACAATTGTCCTACCTTTGTCCCTCTGAACCTGTAGGTTCCTATACTGGACCCAGGCTGGTGTGGGAGGGGGGCTGTACAGGATGGACCTCGCATACGCCGGGCAAACCAACCTCACTAACTCCACCACCCTGCATCACATCAGTATAACAATATTACTGGATGTAGTGATAACAATTGTCCTACCTTTGTCCCTCTGAACCTGTAGGTTTCTATACTGGACCCAGGCTGGTGTGGGAGGGGGTTTGTACAGAATGGACCTGGCACACGCCGGACAAACCAACCTCACCAACTCCACCACGCATCAGCGCATTGCCGACCAGGACCATCTACAGGCCGTCACCATCAGTTACTCTTCCCTCCGCCTCTTCTTCCCCGACAGACAGATGAACGTCATGCTGTCAACGTTCATCGACGGAAGTGACCAGGAGGACTTCCACGCAAACACGCAGAGCCCGCAACTCACCGACGTTAAGAGTTTGACGCACTTCGAGGTTGGTTTTTTAATTTTATTTATTCTTTATATTTAGATATTTTGATCATTTCACACAAAATAATAAACAGAACAATAACACAGAGATAACACATACCATGGATCCAAAACAGAATTACAACAGAATACACAGACTAAAGATAAGAATCAAACTACTATCAGCCAATTAAAAGCAATGAGTTGGTTTTGTTTTTCCTTTGGTTTTTCTCTTTCCCTGGCATGTACTTTGAGTTGACTTCTATGTTCCAATTATGTCATGTACCACTTCAACATTGTATCAAGTTCCTTATTTGATGTTGCCAGTGAGTATGACTTTTGATTTGGGTTGGATTTATGTTTATATGTCTAGTGTACTTCTGTACTTATGTTTGTGTGTATGTCTGTCTAATGATCTTATAAGCCCATATGGTCTGGGCGACAAAGACAAGTCGTAAGACACAATGATAAAATATTAATTCATTTATTCATTAATTCCAGGAGAGTTTCTTCTGGACTCGTGGAGATGACAGAGTTTACAAGGAGCATCTGAACGAGGACACCGGACAGTTCTATCACAACCAGTTCTCGTTTAACATCGAGTTTTTTTTTGGACCGTTTGTTGGCCTGGAGATGTACCACCCGTCCATGCAGCCTGTACCTGTTCCTGCCAACCCTCCACAGGACCTGAGAGTGCTGTTTGGAGAGGACTCGGTGTTCCTGAGCTGGCTGGAACCTGAACAACTCAGCACCTTCGGTAAGTCTTAGACATTCTTGTGACACTTCTTCTAAACAAACATTCTAAGTGTAAGAATGGTTCTCAAGTTTGATTTTTGAATTGGGTATTAATAGAACTGATATAGACTTTGTGCAATAAAAAGTAAAAACTCAGGGCAAAATATAAATTTAGGGTTGGATGGAAGACTATAATATGACTATATTTATTTCTAAAAACGATGTAAAACTTTTCCTCCGGACAATGCTTTCATGTTGATTTTGCAGTTTGTTCAAGTTTGCGTCCAAGAACCGGCAAATCAATTTTTTGTGGTCCCTGTTTTCCTAATATCTTTGCAAATTAAATTGACTTATACTGCTTAGCAAACTGACTTCTGTAAACATGTATACTTTATTTCATTAACAATTTTGTGCTTCCTTTTTAGGTAAGGGAGCTTGGAAAGACTGGAGGTATGAACTTGAAGTTCAGAACCTGGACAACCTTAGTGAGAACTCTACTTGTGTGTCTGACATCACAGCGTACAACTACACACTGCAGCAGCTGGAGAAGGGAACACAGTACAGTTTCTCTGTCAGGGCGTATTCAGGGGGAGGCCCAGGACCATGGAGCGACAGTTTTGTGGGGAGAGTCTACTCACAGGGTAGGTCTCTCACTCTCTCATTCTCAATCAATCAATCAATCAATCAATCAATCAATCAATCAATCAATTATGCTCACTATCCAAGCTTAGGTCCCTCACTCTGAACTGGTATGAATCGTTGAGGAAGGTTAGACATCCAGGTAAACAAGGTTCAAAGAAAATTTAAACTCTACCACTGGATAAATTGCAATGTCATATTGCATGTTGCACCAGAAGCATTAGAGTATCATGGATAGCATAGTCAGCACCAAGGACAGGGTAGTTAGTGCATTGTTTTCTACGGATGGTAATGTATAATTATAGTCAATATTGAAGATATCATAGTAAGTTATAAGGATGGCATAGTCAGTACCAAGGACAGGTCAGGTTGTGATACGGATAGTGTTTTCAGCACCAAGGAAAGGGTAATTTGTGATGTAGTGTTTTTCCATTGCGTTGCAAATACCTGTACATGTAAAAGAAAAAACACAGTTTGAAATACTTAGAGTAATTGTTTATTTGTTTGTTTGTTTTTTCTCCAGTTTCCACTGCCCCTCGGCTGGTGCTGGTCACCCCCGAGGGAGGAATGGTACAATCCAACATCGATGGTTCTGCCTTTGAGACTGTCCACCCTAATATTACTGATGCCACAGGTTAGTTTGCGCACTATTGAAAATCTTGCTAACTTGAGAGCAGTATATACAGCACATCGGCAGAACGTACTGCACCTTTGCGAAACCTTGAATGTATTATACGTAGCAGAACTTCTCATATAAGGTCGTATTTGCATATACAAGGTTGACACTGTCTGTACTTGTCTGTAGTTTCCAAATGTTATGTCGGAAAAAATATTGTCTGTAAGAGGCAAAATTCTGATGCGACGTTGACCAAACATCCAACGAAAACCTTGAAAAATGATTTTCAAAAAACTTTCTTTGACAGATCTTGCCTGGATGGACGACAGTCTGTACTACCTGACCAGTGGGGGTGAGGTTGCTTACTGGAACAGCTCAGGGGAAGTCCAGGAAGCATCCTCCCTCCCCTGGGTGACCAGTGCACGTGCGATCGCTGTAGACTGGATCGGAAAAAAGCTCTACTGGGCAGAATCTACACAACACAGGGTATGTCTTAGTAGTTCCCAATTATATATCAAGCATTAAGAATTTAATCTTTAGGAGTCACCTGTGGTACTAAGTGGTAACTACATGTATAGAACCAGCCAGCATCACATATTTTACTGATTTTCTTTCTTAGAACTCTGATGAAATCTTCTAACTTGAAGGTGTTTTAAAGCAAAATGTCTACAAAATATATATAATACATGTATATCAGATTGAAAGAACTTGAAGGAAAGTCACAAAGAAAAGGCTCTTGACTTTTTATGCAGTCTATGATAACATCAGTACAAGTATGTAATGTCTAGTTAGTTGGTGTGATGTCTGTTAAAGTTCTGTGTGAAAGGGAAATATCCTAAAAACTGAGAAAACTTTCTGGACTTATTATGTTTACCGAAGGAAAACATATTGTTTCTGTTACGTTTCCTCTTCTTCTTCTTCTCCAAACAGTGACCTCTGACCTGACTGAACCAGACTGTCTCTCACCATGTTAACTGGTGTTGACATACATAATGTTGCAATTTTATTGTAGGAGGGATTTAGACTCCTGTCACCATAAATGTGAATGTGTTTAGGTAAGAGTTAACAGAGCAGATGCGAAGGTAAACATTATGTATTTGCTTTGCAAATGTTACTCTTCTAGTTAACTATACTGTCTTCTTCACACATTCAGATCTGCCGGTCCGAACTGAGTGGAAACTCCATGGAGCATGTGCTGAGCGCCTCTGTACAGGACCTGGAGGTCAACGCCCTCTCAGGCCACCTGTTCTGGACGTCCGCGCACGCCGTGGAACGTGCCCGTCTGAACGGACAGGACAGGTAGTGTATGAAAAAAATGTAGTGTAAGTCTGAATTTATGATATTCCTCAAGCTTTTAAATTGTAAGAAGTCGACAATTCAGCCATATAGGCTGCCATTTAGGTTTTTAAACTGTGTATGTTTATGTGAAGAAGAACAAACCAGTCAACATCTTATTATTCAGGACCCGCTACTGGAGCGTGGAGAATTTCTCAGGCAGGCAGCTGGCTGGGATCACGCTGGACACCCTCGGGGAGATGGTCTACTGGCTGGTCAGTGGGCTGGACATGCTGGACTTGTACCGGGCTAGCAGCACTGTGGATGGGTGAGTTAATGAGTTAGCAAGTTAATGAGTTAGCTAGTTAGCTAGCTAGCTAGTCAGTGGGCTGGACATGCTAGACCTGTACCAAGCTAGCAGCACTGCAGATGGGTGAGTTTATGACTTACCTAGTTAATGAGTTAGGGAGTTAGTTAGCTAGTCAGTGGGCTGGACATGCTAGACCTGTACCAAGCTAGCAGCACTGCAGATGGGTGAGTTAATGAGTTAGCTACTTAGCTAGTTAACTAGTGGGCTGGACATGCTAGACTTGTACCAGGTTAGCAGCACTGCAGAGGGGTGAGTTGATGAGTTAGCTATCTAGTAGGCTAGCCAGTTACCTGGCTAGCAGCACTCCTCTTGGGTGAATTAGTTACACACACATGTAGTTAGTGGGCTGAACTTGCTAGACTTGTACCTAGCAGCACTGATCATGAAGACAGTAATTTGGATGTTCTATTAGAACTGTTCAGTACATTTCATGCATTGCATTCTTATACATGACATACTCTCATGTCCCTAATAAACATACCCCCCGGAATAAACATACCCCCCGGACAAATCTTCAAAGTCTAATAAACATACCCTCCGGAATAAACGTACCCCCCGGAAAATGACCAAATTGACAGGTGAACTGTGTGTCCATGATACTAAAATGTGCTCTTTATTTAATACCAATACATGTATATGGGCAAATCTTTCACTGTTACATTTAATTAGTGAGTATATATCACTTTAATTAATGAGTATATATATATTGTACTTGTTTTGGGGAAATACAAAATCCGTAGGAGAAGCTATAATTGCATTTTACACTTCTGAAATGCACTTTGCTAAGCCCTCTCCTGCAACTTGAGTTGAAAATCTGACTAACTTAAGAGATAGAAAATCAAGCCCAATTAAGTACAAATATAGGGGTTTAATGAGTATATGTACAACAAAATCCATTTCAACATAATAATTATTTGGTATGGTACATTGTCTAGTCTGGTCAAAGTCTGGATTCTGAAGAAGAAAAACTTCTGAAGAAAAAAACTTTTGAAGAAAAAAAATATTATTCAGCATAAAATTTTGATTGGTTTCCATATCATTGTTTTTTTTTAAAATCGATAATGTGATCATTACCATGTATCAATTTTAAACGCCCTAAAATTAGCTAAATCGGCGCTTTTACGGTGATTGCGCAATATGGGTGCCCTATGACCTTTGACTTTTTACGGGCCATGCTGCTCAGGCGCTAGGCGCCCTCCCCACGTCGGCCGTCCGTCTTGTGGGCAAATTTCTACTTTTTTAGGGGTTTCGGGACCTAAAAACTAACACCAGAGGCAAAATAAACCACATACGTTTTTTTCATGGTAAATATCGCTAAAATGGACCAGGCATTTTTCTGCCGCGTTGCCGATTTTGACAAGGACTTGCGGCCGCCATGTGCTAAATACGTCGATTAGCTACTCGCCTTCCCCTTCGGTTTTGTGGGCAAATTTTTGCTTTTTCAGACGTTTTGGGACTTAAAAATGGACAGCAGGTGAAAAATAAATAATATACATTATATTCATGGGAAATGCCGCTATCATGGACCAAATATTTATCTGTGACGTGTTGCCGAATTTTGCGGCCGCCGGCCACTTGCTGATGGTGCGGTACGTATGGACAATTTGTTCCCCAAAAATTAATAAACGTACCGTCCCTAATAAGAGTGTACCGGGTGGACGTTCGGGCCGAAAAAAATAAACGTACCGGTACGTTTAATCGGGACATCAGAGTATGTATATTGATTTTCTTCACAGGCCACTTGTATCCAGCACAGTGCAACTCCTGGGACCAGTCCATTCCTACACTCTGTAAGTACTGTGTTGCAAGTCAAGAACCCTACATGTATATAACCACATGATACATGTAAACCTTGTCACCCTGTCTATCAGTTGCTGGTCATAGTATCTTTTCAGGTACAGTCGTGTAATATCATAATCCATATACCGTGGAAAAATCAGGAATGACAGTTTTCATTATCACAGGGATTGTATATATCGCCTGTCTTGTCCATTGAAATTTTGAACGCAAACTCTTTGCAATTCAGGGAGTTTTATCCTTGCTGTAAGGTTTGCTTTTTTCTGAGTCACAAATAACGAACTGTTATTAATACATGTACATAATTATTTTCCATTCTACAGGAGTCATGTTCTTCACTTCTACGACGGAAAGCTGTTCTGGCTGGACTCGGACTCGAGACTCGCCGTACGTGACGTCAACAGCTCTGATGTCACCACTGTCCCCATGGCAACTGGCAAACTTACCACGTTCACCGTCGTCCAGCCTTCCCTTCAGCCCCTGCCTGGTCAGTGGGTCTCTAGTACTTTTATTGTGTCCTGCTAAACAATGTATGGTTGACAAAAAGTTTGTTAAAGACCTCCCCACAACCATGTAATTTAGTTATTTGTATGGATAGTATAGTCAGTACCAAGGACAGGGTAGTTAGTGCTGAATTATTTCTTTGGATGGTATAGTCAGTTCATTCATTCATTCATTCATCCATCCATCCATCCATCCATCCATCCATCCACCCATCCATCCACCCATCCATCTATCCATCCATCCATCCATCCATCCATCCATCCATCCATTCATTCACTATACATGAACATTAGCTTGTAATTCAGACACAGAACTGATACTACATATAAATTGAAATGTTTCCCCTTCTATTCCACAGTTGGGTACAACTCGACCCCCAGCGTAGTCCCAGAGGTCGTTCACCCCTCGGAGGTCGCGGTTTCGGGCACGTGGGACGACTTTAACATCACCTGGGCAACGGCCAGGGGCGTGGAGTACGGAACGACCTTGTACGACCTCACACTGCATTATGGGAATAGGCTGTACGCAAAGGTACGACCTTCACCAGTTTTAGGTTGAACCTTTTCTTTTTTTCAGAATTCAGCCATTCTGGCTGCTATGCTTCCAACAGTGTTGAAATACTGTAAATCATTCAATTGTCATCATACTGAGAGACAGTGCATTTTCCTGTAACATTTAACTTCCATTAACATTTATACTCTTATTTACATAATAAACATATACCTGCCACTTTGAAAAAGGTGTGTTTGACAGATCTCTAGTGCACCACCCCCAGGTTTGCACAGTTTAGATGCACTCCTGCAAATCTAAACTGTGCAAACCTGGGGGTTGTTGCATTGGGAAGCTTTTTGGATGCATGATTTTTTTTCAAGGTGGCAGATATTTTGTGAATTGGTGGAATAATGTTATAGTAATAGATTGGAAATTTGTATATGTGATACAAGTTAACTCCAATACAAGTACTGAAAAGTGCCAGACAAGTTGAATGCAATTATGGTAAATTTAAGAATCTAATTCTGCTCTCAAAAGTTTTTGCCATCTACATGAATTGCATGAACCCAAATGCTGTTGTTCCATGGTTGCTAGGTTACCAGTGACAACCACTACACCATCGCTGATGCCCCGCCCTACACCCCGCTGGTCCTGACCCTGTTACCTTTCACCTACTGGGGGTCAGCAGGTCAGGTCACAGTTCATCTCAGGTCACCAGAGTCAGGTAAGGACCGGTCCATTCTACAGATGGTAAGAGGGGCGAAAAGTTTTGAAATTCATATGTTTTTATTTTGATCCAGTTTCAGATTGCCCTTATGTAGCCTTTTGGCACTAAATTCTTTATGGAGTTAAGCATCAGAGAAAAAGATAAAGTAAATTTTAGCAATTTATTATTACCTACAAGTAAAAAAAGGAAAAAGGTACTTGAACAAGTTTTAGCTCACTGAAGAGCTACTCTCCTACTGGCCGTGAAGACAGAAGCTAAGTACAGTATTTTCAATTTCATTTTCCTGGGGAAATTCCCCTAGTTGTTTTTGACAAGCAAGTAATGATTATGATAATTTTTACATTTTTCTGCTTCTGTCCGCAGCCCCAACAGTCCCAGTCAGGCCCAGGGTTTTCATCACAGAGAACTCAGACCCCCTCTCCACACTCACCACCTACACCGCACAGTTCCGCTGGTCACCTCCGCAACAGGAAAATGGACTCATCCAGGGGTACAACGTGTTCTACCAGAACGCCTCCTCCCAGAATGCATCAGCGGGGAGTTCCGTTGCCATGACAACCGTGTCAAACAGCACTTTCCAGTTTACTCTGGAGAATCTAGAGCCTGGGACAACTTACACTTTTCAGGTAAAATATGAAGTTCACAATTCTACCGTTACTTATTGAAAGTTTTGGCAATATTTACTTGAAAAAAAAAATTACCAGTCCTAGATATGAAAAATCTCACCAAACTCATTGAATTCTCATAAGCGTCTTTTGTTATACAATTTTGCATGCAATGTGTAAAGACTGTTGGAAAACGTTTTAGATGTTTGTCTAACTTTCTACTTTAAATCATACATGTATGTACCCAAGCTTTCCAATCCTGTGCATTTGGTACATATTAGGTATCCAGAACTGTAACTATCTGGTTCTATGCCTGAATAGGTCATATATATAATAGGGTTAGGATCAGGCACATTTCTGGATAGTCTCTGTGTATCTAGAACTGTGCCTATCCAGTACTGTTCTATGCGTAAATGGATTTTAGGATTAGGACAGTTCTGGATAGTCTCTTATCGTATCCAGAACCGTGCCTGTTCAGCTCTATGCATAAATGCATTAGCATTAGGATTAGGATACTCTATATCTGCTTCTAGCCTGCTTGAGGTTAAGAATGTTGATGCCCTCCCTTGTATTTTGCGCTGAGGAATCCCAGCGTCTCTAAGGAAGGTTTGTTTTGGTTCTTCCCCACAGGTGGAAGCCTTCACCTCAGCTGGCATCGGGCCGAGAACCCCGGCTGTCAACGCCAGCACTCAAGGTCAGCTCAAGGTCACCTTGGAGGAGAGTCAAACACTCTGATGTAGTTCTTGGCTTAGAGCCACACAATGTTGTACTCATGGATGGTATCCTATCAGTGATACCAAATTTGATATAGGATTGGAAGAAATTTGCTTTTTTGGTTCATTTTTATCTGTTTCATTGCAACACACAACACATATAACTATCGTAATAATGATGGATGATATCTTACAATGATCCCAAATTTTATAAAGGACTCAGAATTTTTTTTTAATTTTTGCAACTCTCATTACAATACAAAACACACACCTTGCAGTTTTTTTGTTTGTTTTGCCCAAATATTGCAGAGATAAAAAAGATCACCAACAGTTACTGAATCAGATACAATGTATGATTGATGCCAATGATGATCTTATTTGCATAATCATTGACATAATACATTATAATAAGATTATACCATCATCTGTTAGTAGTATGAGGTTGTGGAGCTCTAGTTTCTACATGAAAACATGGCTACTAAAATTACTGATATTTTCTTTGAAAAATTGAAAAATCTGAAATTAAAACATGAAAATTTTTTTTTCCACATTCCAACACAGTTGTTAGCCCTCCACCCCAGCTGCTTGTCATCGGTGATGCTGGGCTCTCATTGGCTGACATGGACACCAATCAGGAGACAGCTCTGACCCAGGTGGACGTTGACCCCGTTGCCGTTGGTTACCTGGGGCAGGAAGATACCATTCTGTTTGTGGACGCGGGGAACGACAGGCTGTTCTCTGTGAAGAGGGACGGGACAGACCTGAAACAGGTTGGTTAAAAGTTTCAACTTTTCTCTATCTTTTTCTGTCGCTCTCTCTGTTTCACAACTGGCATAACTGCTAATTAAGTATGACACACTGGTGATGTCAAAAGACCTGCCATTAAGCCTTGCTAACCTAACATATCTAATGAAGATTATACTTTTCATAATTATCACTAGCACTCAACATGATTGTATGAACTAAGGTTTCTCTAACACAACAAAGTTTTATCTCCAGTAATTTGTAATGGTCATGTGAAATGTTTATTGGAAAGATACTGTTTTCTCTCATTGACAATTCAAACTCTACTACTGGATAAGTTACATTGTATATTACTTACAGACGTTTCAAGTGACTCTTCTTCAACCTACTCAGCATTACTAAAATGAACTGTTACAGAACGAGTCAACACTCAAGAGTCAAATGTTGGGAAAGAATTGGTTGAACATGACAGAAACTCATAAATAACTTACTTTTTGTTCTGTTTCCTCATTTCTAACACTTTTCTTCCAACATTTTTTATCCGTTTACGCAGCTTGTTCAGCTAGACTCTGCCCCCGCGACCTTGGCTGTGGACTGGGTGGGGAGGGGGGCGTACTGGCTGGAGGGAGGGGGGATGTTCCGTTACAGACTCGAGGGGGAGGACCCCACCCCCACCCAGCTGGCATCTGGGCTGGGTCAGACAGGAGAGTTAGTGATCGACCCCTTAAAGAGGTGAGTCATAGCCATGGTAACTGTTGCCATAGCCACTGGTGATAATGGTCACTTTGAATTTTCAGAGTCATGTTCCAAATTTCAAGGTCACCTTCTTGGGAATGCTACATTCTAACCTGTTTCTGAACGTAGAAATGATAATTTTTTACTAAGATGCATTTCAAAACAAACTTTTTGGCCTGGAGAGGGAGACAGAAAATCACATTGCACTGCTTGTATCCACAGTATGTATCTTGTTTCTTTCAATGTTTTTAACAGAGAAAAATTAGAGACTCTTTTTACACAACCAAGTGTTTTATTTACAGCCGATGTTTTGGTGACCGTCTGTCACCTTCTTCAGGGCAATTCTGACTGGTTCACATTGCACTGCAGCATAGATGCATTCCCAACGTACAACGTACCAACCTGATGAAACTATTCACAAATAGGATGCAATATTCACATTCAAATGTTTTAAACAGTTTTCTTCTATCTTTCCTGAAAGCACCCTGTTTTGGACAGCAACAGTCGACAACAGAACCAACATCTGGACATCAGACTTGGAAGGAACCAACAGAGCTCCACTCTTCCCCTCCTCACCTCAACGTAACAGGAGGGAAGCCAACACCCCTGCTCCTGCCACAGTGGCACCTCCCGCCTGCACCTGTCCACAGGACATGGCTGTAGGGCCGGGTTTGTCCATTGACGGAGTGGGAGGTGGCAGGCCTGAGGTGTATTTCTGTGGAGAGGCAGTGATCTGGGCAGCTGATACACAGGGGTGTACCTGTAGGGTTGTGTACAACGGGACAGGTGAAACAGACACAGGTGAGGACAGGATTTGTTTGTTTTAATATCATGAAAGTTCATCTGTGTTGGTAGTGTTTAAACCCGCGTAGCAGTTAAGTGAAGGGTGGTGGGCCCTGATGTAAATGGCCTCCTTAACCCCTCTCAGGAAATAGATGAAAGTTCATCTGTGTTGGTAGTTACATGTTTAAAGTTAAAACTTTAGATCCAACACGAAAAGGTCTCTCAATGCCTGTCTAGGTGCACCTAGAGCTTTCGACCAGTCACTCTGGCTTGTCATACTTCAAAGATGCCATGTGACAAGCCTCACTTGGTCAGTCTACTGAAGAAGACCAGTTAAATACCAAATCAAGACTTAGTACATGTACTGTGCACACGCAAGGACTTACTCCCATTTTCCCATCCCTCAGGTCTCCCCTGTGACTCCCTAACCGTGGACACCTCCCATGTTTACTGGACCAACTCTGAGCAGAACCTGCTCTGTAGCCTGGAGAAGGCCTCTGGGCGAGACAAGACGTGTCAGGACAACCCAGGAGCCAACTCTGTGCTGTCCTTCAGTCCCAGTCTACAGCCATATCCTGGTAAGTGAACAGCAAAGTTTATACCTTGAGCTGTGAGTAGTTTGAGCTGACTAAATCATGCTTCTAGCAGCCCATCCACTGGCAAAGCCTTTGTGTAAAAGCTTGATGTCCAACACCCTTACATGTGTACATGTACATGTAACATCCGTGTCCATAATATCACCAGGGTCCATGAGAAACAGTGTGCTTTAAGATATTTTTACTGCAACATACCCTAGGTATGTACATTTGAGGTGTGCAGGAGTGCTTACCAAAAGTATGTTGCAGTAAAAATATCTTAAAGCATACTATTTCTCAAGGACTGGTGGCGATATTATGGACCCTGGTGATATCATGGACACGGATGTTAAGTCTGGAGAATCTTGATTCTGTTGATGCTAACATGGCTGCTTATTGTCAGTTTGACCACTCTGTTACCATAGTGTTGGAGGCTGTGATGACTGGTTTCCATTTTGACAGATTCATGAGCTCCTATTGGATGGATTTTAATAGAAATGCTGCACAGTATTTAGAGTCTACAATTGAAAATTGAGACATCTTTTGGGTACTTATAAAAGTCATAAAAATGTATTTTTACTTTAAAGAATGATGACAATGCTCTTCATATAAAAATTATACATGTACTTGTATCAATGAACAAAGATAACTTTTTACAACACACTAATTACAACTGCAATCGTTCTTTTGTTTTCCCAGATCCATCCTGTCTCACCCCCGTGGACTACAATAGAACAGCCCAACTGAATGGTACGTCCCTCCCCACCACCTTACCCCTTTCCCTGATGCCTGCCGAGCAGCTCCCAGCATGCAGTGGGATAAGCCTGGCCACCGTGACCTACACGATCCATTACGTCCTTCTGAACGGCAGCAACACTACAAAGGACTGTGGGAACGGACTGGCATGCTCGAACAAGGTGAGGTCCTGACTTTGAATACTGTAAGGTTTTGCAGTTTTCACGGAGACTTTCCCATTACAAAAACCTGACACTACATGTAGTTTTGTAAATTTTTCCAACGCATTAAAACTGTACTACAGTATGATTCAGCTGTGAACATTCAAATGTCATGATTTTAGTTTTAGAAAGGCTCTCATCAAATTATCATCATCATCTTTTATTCTCTTCAAATAAAAGAAACTGTTGCATGCAGGTAGACCGTAGACTTCTGGCTGTCTTAGTCCTTACTCGTTTGACTTCAGGTTCTTGTTTTCCAAAGCAAGAATAGGCTTACTAAATTATAAATTATAGAACATAGTTTTAAGAATGAATGATTGCACACACCAGCTAAGCAAAATGCAGCTAGTGATAACTATAATAATTGCAACAGAGTCTAGAGTTAAAACATCATTACCTGTAGTGTTTATTACAAGGGGAAGACAAAACTAAGAGTATTTAAAGAAACTCCTGTTCTTTGCCTTCTCCAGACCACCCAGAGTCTACACACGGACATAACCGGGCTGCGGCCGCACTCACACTACCTGCTACAAGTGTCTGCCCAAAACTTCTACACCAGGAAGGTCCCTGTTCTCGGCCCCTCCACAACGCTAAAAACCGCCATCGGCGTTCCTTCTCCTGCTGTTAACGTCACAGCCGCCGCCATGCTTCCAGACTGGGTGGACGTGTTCTGGTCCAAACCTCTGGTGCCGAACGGTCCACTGGAAGACATCATGTACAGGGTGCAGTACCAACTGGAGTCAGCAGGAGGAGCTGGTGTACAGGAGATGAGGGTTGTGACATCGGGAGTGTATAACGCAAGCATACGAGGACTGCAGCCAGGGAAGAACTATACGTTCAAGGTACAAACCAATCAGTATGATAGGCTGGAAAATGTTGTAACTGAAGTTTGCTGACTACAAATGGGTAAGAAGTTATCAGGATGCAGTGTGCAAAATACCTGGTTGCCCAGTTGCCCGGGCAACCAAATTTCACTTGGGGCAAGCTATTTTTGAACCTAGGTAGCCCAGTGTGCTAGTGTGCTACCTGAATTTTAATCCCCCCCCCCCAAATCATGCCCACTTGGCTTGCACCACTTTATCTGGCAGATGCTGAATTGCTGATCTATTACATTAAAATAAACCTTTGAGTCAGTAGACTGACCCAGTGACAAGCCTCACTCGGTCAGTCTACTGAGGAAGACCAGAGTGACTGGTCGAAAGCTCTAGGTGAGAGAATTTCTTTGTGTTGGAACAAAAGTTTTAATTCTGTCTCCCACACCAACAATCATATGAGAACCTTTGTACCAACAACTGTTAAACTTTGGAACAGTCTTCCGAGTTAGATCGCTAAGATCAGGGACAAACAAAGATTCAAGCGTGAAGTTAATTCTTTCCTCAGCGCAAAACTTTGACAGCGTTCTGTCTAGGCAGTCCGGCTGCTAATGCTGAGTGAGAGCTGACATAGATTAAACTACATTGTACAAGAGATTCTTACTTCTTACTGTACCTGTGACCTTACTCTCATCCCTTGCAGGTGATCGCCAACTCAGTGGCTGGTTCCAGTGAGAGTTTGCAAGTCCGTGCGGCGACCTTTCCTGCCCCGGCTGACCTCCAGGTCATCAACCTCTCCAACACCACCATGCTGGTCTCCTGGCAACCGTTACCTAGCAACGTCATCACCCAGCATGCCTTGCAGTGGGCAGAGAAACCTGACACTGGGGTGGGGGTTTACTTTTTCTTCTATTGTTTTCTTTGCTTTTGTACTGTTATTATTTAACTTACCTTTTCGATAGAATTTGTTCATCGATCTAGAAAATCGAAAAAAATATAATTGTCTTTTGATACATCGGTGAAGGTGATAAGATATGCCCCTAAAAAAGTTACTCAAGCAACTGGAATGATTTCCAAAATCATATCCAGTTGCTTGAGTAACTGTTTTTTTTTTTTGTTGGCATAATTGTCTTTTGTCAGTGGAAAAACAAGTCACTGAGGATAGCAAATTTGCTATGATAATATTCTTAGTAGTTTTTGTGACCATCCGTCTAAAAGTGGTTTATTGCACAAAACAGGATGTGCCAGATGCAGATTGGAGGAGCAGCAATGACAGCCTAGACAGCAATGCCACCTTGTGGAACATCACGGAACTGCAGGCATACAGGGAGTATCTCCTGCGAGTCCAGCTGACCTACACGTCAGGACAGCTGTACAGGTCACAACCTCTGACCCAACGCACCCAGGGTATGTCCACTATGGCCTTGCATGTAGAAGTGGAACTTGCTGTCACCAAGTACAGTAGGGGCATTATCATTAGATAGCTTTAAACAATGTCTAGAGTTAGATGTTCACGGGTTAGGTGTAATAAGTTGTTCGGTGTCATGTAGCCAGCTGCTGCGGCGCTGCGTGCTTGCAAAGCTGGTGTGATATGACAAAGAGAAGTTATAGTAGTATACAGATACAGATGGGTACTTGTAGCATGCATAGTCCACTGGTTTGTGACCCTACCTATGGACCAAGAGGTTGGGAGTGCGAATCCCAGGTGTCGTCGCTCCCCCCACATGCACTGTACAGTAAAGGGTTGCAGTCCTTGGGATGGGGTGTTAAGCTGTGGTCTACTGCTCATTGTACTTGTCAGAAAGGGAAGGGTAAGTTTCCTGGCACAATGAACATGTACTAAATGCTGCACAATCGTAACATTAATAAGCTTTTTAGTGGCCTTCTAGATAAGACCTTCTGGATAAACTAACTGCACAGTAGTTGTTTAAAAACACATCTCTCTGTTACAGCGGGAGTGCCCGGCCCTCCCACATCTGTCGCAGTGCGCCGGATTAAGGGCGAGTTTGACGTCTCGTGGGCGGAGCCTGACCGCGACAACGGGGCAGAGGTCACCGACTACATCCTACAGTGTGCTGTGGACAACAGGTAAGTTTCTTAGTAAAACGTTGAACTTTATTCCAACACACTATTTACAGAGATCAAATTTTCAGCGACCACTGTCGCTTTCATCAGGATAATTAATGACCGATCACTTCACGATGTGATCTCGCGAGAGTTACGGTTTACAAACACGTGACCTTATTCACACGAGACTTTACTGATACGTGATGTGAGCAATTGGTTAATGTAAGTTTCTTGGCTGCTTGTTTGTTATCGTTTACTCTATTTTTGCACTTTGCAAAGTATCAGTCATCAAAAACTCTTCCCCATGTGTTGGTCATCCAAATTTTGCCCAATCCATCATCTTTGATGGACAAAGTCAGTGTGTAAAGGTATGGAAAGATATGTCATGATGTCTTCTGTGCTGGACATGATGTCAAGTCAAACAAAATTGAGATGACGGGAAAATGATTCAGGCTAGCTAGAACACTGGCACATATGCATGCAGAACATACTTGGGCACATTACTGTGCAAAGGCAAGACGAATGAATGAAAGAAGACCTGTTAATCATCGTATTTTCACTCTCTTTCCTACCCAGTAACATCACAGAATCGGATTGGATGACGAAGTACGAGGGAAATGAGACCGGTGTGATCGTGAGCGACCTGACCAGCGGAATCATGTACGTGTTTCGTGTGGCGGCGCTCAACGACCTCGGACAGGGGCCCTACAGCCTGCCCTCCCAGCCAATCAGATTCGAGCCAGCTGTGCAAGGTAGGCTGTGATTGGTCACTCACAGTTTCTGTTACTATGGTAGCTGCTGTGTATTTATTATATCTGAAGAAAGCTATTACACAATACAAGTTGTAAGTTTCTTGTGAATGTTTTCTACATTGTAATTATACCATTTCACACTCACACTCAGAGAAACTTAGTAATACTTAACATTCATGAAGTCACAATTTATCAGTTGTTTCTAGAATTAATTTTGATTTAAGACAAAATTCCTATTAACGAGGAGAATCCATCTGAGTAAGATAATGATATTAGTTATACATAAATTTTGTATTAGTAACTGTTATTCTTTCAGAAGTATTTTGGTCCATCGCATAGTTTGACATTCCCCTAGAAAAGATTCTGCTCTCAGATGTACAATATGTACAATGTAGATGCATATATATATGGTCTCCTTTTCTCCTCTAACATGTTTTGTATCGCAGATCTTAACACCCTTCATACAATGTTTGTTACCTATTACAGAACAAGGAGGAAACATAGCAGGGATCATTGCTGCATGTGTGAGGGTTAGGGTTAGAGTTAGGGATAGGAAGGATTACTAACTTAGTAATCCTTTCTATCTCTAAACTAAAGTGAGTGTGAGTGAGTGAATGAGTGAGTTTTTTAGTCAAAATCCAACCCCATTTGTCTCCTATACTGTTACAGAACAAGGAGGAAACATAGCCGGTATCATCGCTGCCTGTGTGATGGTGGGCGTGGTCCTCGTCTTAGCGGTTATCATCATCGTCATTCTCCGCCGGCGTCGGCACAAAGGAGCGTCGCTCGCGATGGATGCCGTGGGCTACCGACCCGACCTGGAGCTGGCACGGCTCCGGGACCTGCCACGGGACCCCAACTTCCACGCAGAGAACAGTGCCCTCTACGCTGTCAGGTAGGTACTGCAGGTTTGGTGTACAGTGAGTGAGTGAGTGAGTGAGTGTGAGTGAGTGAGTGAGTGAGTGAGTGAGTGAGTGAGTGAGTGAGTGAGTGAGTGAGTGAGTGAGTAAGTAAGTGAGTGGGTGGTTGAGTGAGTGATGAGTGAGTGAGTGAATGTGCGAGTGAGTGAGTGATAGAGTTAGTGAGTGATTGAGTTAGTGAGCGAGAGTGTGTGAGAGAGAGAGTTAGTGAGTGAGTGAGTGAGTGAGTGAGTGGATGAGTGAGGAGTGAGTGAGTGAGTGAGGGTTAGGGTAACGGTTGGGGTTAGGGTGTGCTGCATGTAACTCTCTTCTTTTTTTCACCAGTGCCCTTCCAGAGTTGGATGTCTCAAAGTTGCCCCTGTACCCTCGGCACAAACTCAGCCTGACCAAGATGCTTGGGAGCGGGGCGTTTGGTGAGGTTTTTGAGGGAACCGCCACCGACATCCTGGGGCCCGGAACAGGGGACACAAGGGTCGCTGTCAAGGTCAGTCAAGGTCATTGAAAATATAGCAAGCAGAAAAACAGGGCTGCTTTATACCTGAAACTTTGTTATGTTTACCTTTTTGCTCTGCTTCTTCTTCTTCAAACCCATAAGGTCAATGACCTGAACCAGAGGCCTGTCAGCATGGTAACTGATGTGGTGTTGGAATGCATTATGTAGCATTTTGCTGGACAGAGTTGAAGGGGCTTGTTACCATGATAATCTTCCAAGAAATCCTACTGATGATGTAAATTATATTATTTCAGACATTAGCAGGTTGCTAAGAGAAGGTTTATTTAATATATATATATATTCTTTAGTTTGTTTGTTTGTTTGTTTGAGCCTAATTTTTTTTATTTTTGAAAGTCATGAGAGCAGAGTTATGGGTTGGATAAAATGGTACCAAATATTTAATCTTTCCTGAACGACAAACAAAACCAGAAATCACTCCAAACTCACAGATTATTGAGTTTATTGACTTTCACATTTCAGTAAAATACATGGAAGCTTCATTTGTATAATTAAGATGCTGAATTGCGCATTTTACATGATCAACATCATAACAAATCTACAATGTATATCTATATTACATGATCAACATGATATTGATAACAAATTAAAAAAAAACTAGTAAACAATGTGACATATTACATTATGATAACTAGAAAGGTAACATTTGCAAGCAAATGCAATATGTTTACCTCAGGATGGTCTTGCCTACGATTTAACGTTATACCTTTATTAGGAAAGGAAAGGTAGAAGGATAGTTTGCTTATATTACTGACTTTTATATGCTGTTTATAGAGTAACATCAACGTTATAACTGGGGAATTTGAATGTTTTTGCCGTTGTAAGGCCAAGTTTAAAATCTGCCGGTCACTTTAATCAATGACTGCCGTTGTAAGGCCAAGTCTACCCGTCTGCCACTCAAAGATCATTACCATAGACTAGTCTTGTAGTGCCATGTATAGGAGATACTAGGATATATATAGTTACATACCACAGTACCAATGATTCACTCAGCACACACTCTTACCATGTTTGCAATTAGGCCACAGCATGTAACTTTAATCAATGACATCCTCTGCAGACTGCAAGTAAACTTCGAGTCTTTTTGACAGCTTTAGTTACAAAGGACTTTGCTGCGCTCATCTCACTACCTTATTACATTTTTGTAAATAGGAAACAGGACGTAGGCTGAAATAATAATGATGATAAGTTTATTATTATTACAAATACATGACAGAGGGCTAATTGTAAATACGTATATCATACAATGATATGAAGAACTAATTCCTACAGTAACTTTAGTCTTTATACTACAGTATATAAGATATATATC